TCTGGCGGCGAGTCTTTACCAGAATGACGTTTTGAAGTTGCTCCGGTGAGAATTTCCAGGATCCGACTGGTACGCCCAGAACAGAGCTTTTTCCGACGACGAAGAAAATAGCAATTTCAAAGCACGCAATCCCTGTGTTTGAACCAGGCGATGATCCCACTTGATATGACCCTGGTTAGGATCACGATCAGAGTATCCAACGCAGCCAACAAGAATTGCGAAGTTTGGGAGTTGAATCACAATCAGAACGTGACGACGAATCAATCGAACAACTTTCTCACGGAAAAGAGGCTCAACGATTTAGGGTAGAACTCCCACAACTGGTCGTGATTCACCAGCTGATGCTTGAGCTTGATCTCGAGCTTGGATTGATCCCAAACACACAATCAAACACGATCAAACGAAGATCATGAATTAAACGAAAATAACTTATGGTTATTCTTTTCTATCTCCATTACACATTAATTGAAAACCTATAAATAGACAATGGAACACTACGAATCACAAGAGATACTATCCTAACCAAACAATGAAATGTAAACTTAAACAGAATCCAAAAAGAACAATGAAACCAAAGGTTTCTTCTCGGCCAAGTAAGTGCCTTGAGCTGCACGTTTGTAGTGTCCTGGGTACCAACTTGGGGCTCTTAGAAATTGGGATAAATCGCCTTGTCAAACTCATCCAACCACTTCACGTGGAAGTAGAAATTCCTTCTTTCGTTTGCAACGCCCAGCTGGTCCAAATCCTCTCCCATTATCGAGAACCAACCTTCCAAAGTTGGTATCTCAACTCTACAATCTGCTCCTTCTATACTTGGACAAATCTGACCCTTCCTGCCTGTGTTCAAGTAGCCTCCTTCTTTCAGCTTGTTATGGAGTTCTAGTTGGAGTCGAGCAGTGCTTGATGGCTTTCTGGAAAGCTTGCAACTCGTACTATCCCGACGGGTGAAATTCCAACCATATGGAAACCCAAAATTCAAGTTATAAGGGCTGGAAATAGGGTCCGGAACACGACATTCAAAATCATCAACACACTTGAATTGAGTTTCCATTTGACCCGTTAAGCGCCGAGATGAGACCTCATCATTGATGATTCTTTAGGCAGATAAAGTTATTTGAGTTGTGAATGACCCGAAAGATATTGGAGCAGTGGAAGAGCTTCAGCTAGAATGGGAAATGTGGAAAAGGTGAAGTGAAGCTTGATTCATAAGGATTTGCAATCAGATTCTAAAGGTAGAGATTAGAGAAGAATGTATTTGTTTACAAAGCACTGGATGGAGAGGAACGAAAGAGACTAAGAGAGGAAGCTTTTGTGGCTTCTCTCAAATGTTAAGAATTAAGTCTTTCTTTAATAGTATTTTCGGTTTCTCTTAATTATTAGTGGTGGTTTTTATGGACTAAAAATATGTTTTTTTTGTTTTTATCTATTGTTGTAGCAATATGATTGACAAGATAACAAAAATTAGTTGAATCCTATGAAACCACTTTGTTCTTTGAGTACCTTCTTTGCTTTCTTGTGAGATCTTACAAGCTGTTGAAATAATTTCATTTGAAAGTTTTTATGACCAAATTTTACCAACCCATTTTCCAAATTTTTTTCCTTTTTATTTTTGCACAACTCATCCCAAAAATTTATTACCAATATTATTTTCATATATTTTTCTGCCTCTATTTTCTCATACACTATCCCTTTAATTATTTTCCTATTTGTGTCTTAGTCTTGACATTCATACTAAATGAAACCTAAATAGTAATTAGACTCATTTATGTTTGTTGCACGATTTCTCATAATACCAACTAAACAGGTTTTAGTTTTTTTTTTATTTTCAAGTTGTTATGTTTGTACCTCTATTGTTACAACTCTACTCCAACTAAAACAACAAAGTTATACTAAATGTAACCTATAAATTAGTTTAATTTCTTTGATTGTTTGAATGAGATTATTACAATGATTGCATGTTTGGGTGAGATTATTAGTTTTATTTCAATTATTCCAAGGCAAAGATTCAACCATCACTTAAACAAAATCAAGGAACTATTAGTACATTGTTGAATAGAAATAGAGAATCCCAATTTTTAATAATTTTATCATCACTTAATTATTTTCGAATGGATCTATTCAACAATGTAAAATAAAAAAAACCAAATAAAAGAATCAATTAAAAGAGATCCTACAATTCCAATTACGAATTTGTTGGGGCCATGACAAAAAAATCGAGCCTTTTGCCATTGAAAACTATATTTGAATTGTCAAAAAAAAAAAACTATATTTGAATTGAAATGTGACCAATTTTAACTTGGGAGGACTTATTCGTCCATAACATAAAAACAAACTTTAATCAATTGGAGGACTTATTCGTCCTTGAAATTTGGATGGATAGGTAGATAAAGGAGGACAACTTCTTTCATTTCTTCTCTCGCACTGCGAACAAGGCAGACCGTATCCCCCACCCAGAGCCATTGGTGCAAAGCTCGACATGGTGGCGGCAGCAATGTCGAAACCTTCATATAAGGTTCTTCTTCTTCTTAAACTATTATGGAGCTGCATGCTTATGGTGTTTGCTATGGCATTTCCAATCCCATCTCCTGAATGAGATTCATTGATGTTCTGAAATTGGGTTTGGTTTCATTGTCGAGCTAACTCTGGCAGAATTCATTGTGGAACGAAGTTCTTTCACATTTGAAGCGACATCCTCCGTCTTACTGACATTGGGTCGTGATAATTTGTGACAGATAATTTTGGGTTCGGCGTCAATGGCTCGGCGGCGGATTCTAGCTGAGATGGGTTATGAATTTACTGTCATGGTGCTTTCTTAACCGCTCGAACGTTCTTCTTTCATAATGAGAAGAGTTCCTGAGTATTTATATAATAATTATATAAAAAGGAGCTGAAATCTCTGTTTTTTGTAGACTGCAGATATTGATGAGAAAAGCATTAGGAAAGATAAGCCTGAAGAATTGGTGATGGCTCTAGCTGAAGCTAAGGTATGGCACTTCTTCACTTCTGTAAGCCATTTCGTTAAATGTTGTTGATTCTATGGTGAAGAACATTCACTATACTTGGGGTTACGATTCTTGATTGAAGTTGCTTATGTTAATATGGTTCCCTATTTGGGTCATTTTCCTAGGCAGATGCCATCATAGCAAGGCTTCTGAACACAGGTCAACTGCAGAACGATACTGATATGACGTTGTTAATTACTGCTGATACGGTATGAACTTATAGTCTCTTTCTTGACTTCCGTTACATTACATCTACCTTTTCATTCATTACCTTAAGCTATGAATCTTGGTTTCCTCATCCGACATTTCGATAGATGAACTTGTTTTGCAATCGACATTGTTGATTCTTGGGTATATAGTTTATGACTTATTGCTACCCTCCCATCTCCTGTAAACTTTCTGTGGTCTTTCATCAGGTCGTGGTATATAAAGGAGTGTGAGAGAGAAACCAACCAGTGAGGAAGAAGCAAGGGAATTTATAAAAGGTTGCTTACTGAGTCCTCTAATCAGCCAAACCCATCTCTGATATTCATTTGGGATTGAGTTTCTAACAGCTGTTGCTTGCAGGCTATTCTGGAAGCCATGCTGCAGTTGTAGGATCAGTCCTTGTAACCAATCTCACTACAGGTTCGAGAAGGGTAACTTGGGAGAGAGCAGAGGTATATTTCCATGAGATACCCGACGAAATCATCGATAGCCTGGTAAAAGATTCTGGCATGAACTCATTTCTCTCCCCCTTGTTCTCTCTTGAACTCAATTCACTGACCAAGTAATGATGTTTTGAAGATCGAGGAAGGAATAACTTTCAAAGTGGCTGGAGGTCTAATGCTGGAACATCCATTAACATTGCCCTTTGTTGAAGCAGTGGTTCGTCTTTCTCCTCCCCCTTTCGGTTTTCTAGTGGTTTACAAAGAACCTCAGTTGCATACCAGAATATGCCCTTAGTGATTCTTGTTAATGACACTCTGAATGGCTTTTGCTTGCAGATTGGGAATAGCGATACTGTCATGGGGCTTCCAACCGCTCTTACCCAGCAATCATTGATGAAGTCTTGCAGCCTCTGAAGCCCTGATAAATAAAAACTCGGTTTATATGTATTCGGCATCTCCATATGTAGACAGACATATGCTTCAGTCTGTATAAATGCCCGCAAAACCTCTGCTTTTACTTGCTCCAGCTTGTAGCACTTATCCTCTGTTACTAAGATGCAGCTTTTTCACATATGTTAACTCATACTCTGCAGTTAATTAGTAAACTCTGCATCCCAACCTTAATCAAACTCACCCCGTTTGGGTTCCAAAAACAACCAACTCATCATCAGCTCGTTCCTCTCTCTGTCTCTGACACCCTCCAGCTTTTCATAACATTTCCGTCACTCAACAACTCACAACCCAGAAATCTTAAGACATGCTGGAGAACGCGGAGTAAGAAAAAGGGAGAACAAATGGCAGCAACAGATTGTGTAGAGCGATTTGGGATCATTGGATGCACCAGGCTAGTGAAGAAAGTCACCAGAGCCATACTCTTTATCCACTGCCATCACCCTTCACGCCATTTCCAGTGGCTTCAGCATCCAAGGACCACAAGGTTGAAGGAGCTTATCTCCAATCCCAAACTCGTCAGAAAGATTGGACTAGTAAGGTAAAGCTTCAGTTTTTGATCCCTCCCCTGTTTGAAAAACATATTCACAGCATTGAGAATACCGAATGGAATGGAAGATTGGTATGGTTATCTATGTTGCCATTTTCGACAAAGCCTAATCTGTTCCTCTCTGCGATTCATACAACATCAACTAGAGGTTTTGATGGTTGATGAATTCGCCAGGCTTGTTCAGGAGATTAAAGCGGGGTCTTGGCCTGATGGGAAGTGGGCTGAGATTTGCAGGAAGCACAACTCGTTGTGGGATTCTGTAATGAAATCCATTCAACTTGGCTGCAGATGTGTAGCTCTGTGACATAAAGAGGGCCCTGTAATCTGGAATATGAATGATGCACATGTTTTTACCTCATTTAGCACTAAGCAGTGCATGTTTGGAGTTGCGCCTCAAGGTCCAGTAAGTTCAAAAATGAAGCCTCTGTGCACTAAAGTTCAGGCGACGAGACTAAGATCAAAACACTCAATTCCTATGATCCAAATCCTCACAAATACAAAAGGAAACCAAGAACAAAAGGTCGACATCTGCTTATGATTTTAGTCAAGCACATATATTCTGGAGGCGATATCTTGAACTAGCCAGTCAAATCCCTCAAGCAGACCTTCACCCGTATATGCGCTACAACCGATGATCTTCCAATGCCTGGTTCTATCCATGTTATCCAAGTTCAGTACCTACAAAAGCATCAAACCAGAGTTACTAAACCCAGAACGGAAAAAGAATACACAGAAAATTCTCCAATGTCAATATGCATTGGGATCATAATAGTTCCATTGTCAAGAAGGCCTTTTGTAGTAGTACCTTGGCGATTTCCTCGGGTGTAAGAGCCCCATTGATGTCTTGCTTGTTAGCAAATATCAGCAAAGAAGCTCCAGATAGCCTCTGCCAAATCAAAAATAGCAAACAGTTATGAATACTAAAGGCCAGGAGCTGAAATTCGGCAGCAGCAGCAAAGTGGGCAGAGAGAAACCAGATTAGTAGTTAAGTACCTCTTCCTTCAACAGATTTTCAAGTTCCATTTTGCAATCACCTAGCCTCCTAAGATCTGAACTATCCACAACCCAAACCAGGCCATCAGTTTGCTCAAAGTAGTTCCTCCAATACGACCTTATCGTTTTCTGCCCACCAACATCCCATATATCAACATATACCTTGCAGACACATAACAAAGACAATTCTACTGAGACTACAATCAGAAAAGAGGGGTGTGGAAATTGACATTAGGGTTTGTGGTGGGTTATTTCTTACTTGTGGTAAGTGATGGTCTTGATGTTGAAGCCGAGGGTAGGACTGATGACGCTGGTGTCTTCTCCGTTGATCTTCAGGACAATCGTCGTCTTCCCGGAGTTGTCCAGGCCGCTGCGGAAAGGAAAAAGACGATTGGGAAATTATCCCCGATTAGATTTCGAGCTGCTGTGGATGTGGAGGAAATTGGAAATGGAGAAGTGGAAGAGAGAGGGAAACAGAGCTACGCACACCATGAGAATACGCATTTCCTTCTCTTTTCGCTTGATCTTTCTGATGATGCTGAGAAGCCCCATGGCAGAGCTCCGACGGCAGTGAGATCGGCAAAACTAGTTCGCGTGGTCGGGCGGGGTCCGAGTTCAATTGGGATTGCGGAATTGGGAGCAGTACTGGCGCGGATAGAGTTAAAAGTACTCTCGAATGGCGTCACTTTTCGTTTGAGCTTCAGTCGACTTCCAGATCTTCAAAGCTTCAGTCGAATTGCAGATCTTCGGAGCTTGAGTGGCAGGATAATGGATACTAACTAGGGGTGAAACTGGGCCAAACCCAGCCCTCACCCTGCCACTACCCAAAAAAATCCAGCCCTGGCCTGTATGCTCATGCTCAAATATTTGGTCCGACCCTATTCTCATTTGGCCCTGTTGGGTCGGGCTGGGCTGGGTCGGGTCATAGGGTCGGGTCAACTTCTTTTATACAATATTAGCCCCTTTATTATTTAATATTAAATTGGATTAATAGCATTTTGTACCCCTCTACAATGATAAGTTAACAAATATACCCCTCTACTAAATTTTTGCACAAATGTACCCTTCTAGTATTAAAACGTAACGAGTCTACCCTTCTGTCTAATTATCCATTAAGTAGCCGTTAAATGAGGTGTGAAATGACCCAATTACCCCCATTTTGCTCCTAACTTCGGTTGATTATTTTATTGTGTTCCAAATCAATTAATTAAAAAAATTAAAAATCTCTAAGCTAATACAGAAGCCCTCCCCCTGAGTTCTCCCCTTGCGATCAGAAGCTCGACTCGGCATCGACACATGCTCGGCACCTCCTCGCCGGCAGTTGGAGTAGAGAGAACCGGCGAGACAAGACGACATCTCCTCGCCGGCACCTGCTCCGGATTCCCCGTGACGTTTCAACGCATATGTAACTCCCCTCGATCACACAGCAGGGTCCAGCTTCCCCGACTTCTCCCGACGTCGACGGCAACTTCCCAAATTTTCACAAGACGTTCCGACGCCAGCGCTTCCGTGGCGATCCATCTACTCTGCTGCCGCACCTATACTCGGGTTCTTCCTGCCAACGCAACTCTCTTTGATTATGTGATTCCAGTACCTACAATCAATATACAGAGTAAGAAGAAGGTGTAGAATTTGTTGGAGCAACTGAAAAGGGAGAAGAGGTCGGGGTTTCGCCTCGGTGAGGGAGGCGAAAACTTCTGCCGAGTGTGGATGATGGGTAATGATTAATGAATTAAATTAAATAAATAAAATAAAATAATTATTAATTAAACACATATTAGGAGTGTTTAGGGGTAAATGAGGGCAATTGGGTCATTTCAGAGTCTATTTAACGGTCACTTAATGGATAATTAGACGGAAGGGTAGAATCGTTACGTTTTAATACTAAAAGGGTATGTTTGTGCAAAAATTAAGTAGAGGGGTATGTTTGTTAACTTACCATAGTAGAGGGATACAAAATGCTATTAACCCTTTTAATAATTTTATTGGACATACTTTGCACTATGCTATTTGCTTATGTCAATAATTTCTCCAACAAACCTCATGATTAAACAAATCCAATTAAAGGTGCAAGAAAATACAACTTATAAAGTTACTGGCAGGCAGAGAATCTGCAAACTCTACATAGAATCTCAAGATCTTGTCAATAATTGGCAGCCTAAACACATCATAGAAGCAAGTTCTGAATTACCGAATCACATTACTTAGCTTACTCTATTCAATATGCAGATACAACAATTACAAGTTCATCTCCTACATTGCCCCTGGCCTTGCCACTGCTGGTGTTTGTAACACCACAAATCCGTGCTCGGAATAACCTCATTAGGCCTTCCTATCATCGCATCAGAAAACAAGTTTCCCTACTAACACAGAAGCAAGAGTCACAGTGAGGTTGTCATCGAGCTCGGTACTTATGGGGAGCGATTCGACAATGGCTGATGCAACAGACGCAGCAAGGAACCCTAATACCATCCCCCAGCTCTCCTCAACATACCCAAATGAGGCAAAATAATGCATATACCTGAGCAGCAACCAAGGAAGAATAGACAGGGTCAAATATGCATACTAATGCTAGTTAGACCCAGACGATGAAGAAAATTTACCCAACAGATGCTAAGAAACCAGACAGTGCCATTGCAATGCTCCCAGCTACAGACTTGTTTCTGTTGTGAGGTAGTTTCTGACTGCCAAACCTTCTACCCACAATGTCTGCCATCCCTATGAGAGATCGCCAAAATGAAAGATGAAGGTTGAGGAGCTGGTATAAACACAACAACGATTGTAGAATTGTAGAGAAGAGTCTGTTTAATTAGAAGGTACCATCTCCAGCACATAGGTTGCATATAGCTGCAAAGCCAATAGGGGAAGTCCTCCACCAGATTGCACAAGCCAGTGTGATTGTTGTAGCATAGTATAGCGGCCCCTTGAGAAGTTCCCTAATAATAATTCAATGAAGGAGAATACGAGACACTGTGAGAGTAACATAAACAGGAATAACAAACTGATGGTAGATGATGTTGAGAGGAACAAATTTGAATTCGTCCTTCTGTTTTTTTTTTTTTTTTATCATGAAGAAACCTCAGATTAAGTACTATATATTCTAAGAATTGAAAAGTCGGAGCTTTGGGGAGATGGATGAAGATTAGTCTGACCTGCGGTCACCAAATCTGCTCATTGATTTCACAGTGGCTTCATCTTTCCACAAACCAGATCCAATAAGAAGCATTTTTATTATGTTGGCACCTGGAATAAGAGCTGCCATGATTGCACCCCGAGGCCCTGAACTGTAACAATTAATATGTACACACTTTTATTTGACAGACTGGGGCACAAAGATGCAAAACATTTCACTAGTAAGAGGAAGTTACCTGAAAAGCGGCCAGCAAAGCATGAAAACTAGCCCAATACTTATGTGCACAAGCTTCCTATTCATTTTCTACATGATAAAATAAAATAAAAAGACAGGATATGAGAACTCTGAAATACCAATAATTTTTTTGGAGGGTTTCAACTCAAAGGTAATATCTTTAGCATCTATATCCCGAACAAAAATGAAGGGACGCAACATTTGTCAATACATACAGAGAGGAAAGTTGAAGCGGCCCATCAAGCTTCACATGAGCACAATACTTACATATGATTATCTGCATCCACATTGGTACTCACTATCATTTTGAAGTTCATACTGAAGTGAAGTCTGATCCCATCACTTTTAATAGACCCTGATATTTAGGTAGGATCATAATCACCAAAGTGCTGCTCTACATTTGTAAGAGTTCATTCTGTATGTCAAACTTTATGGTGTGAATTTTTGTTTATCAAATTCCCTGGTACGTCCAAGGTTTGCGTTCTGGATAGGAGCACAAGACCAATATCTGTAGAACTAGACATCGTCATAAATCAAACTCTTCACACTGAACATAAAATTGACTGGCTAGTTGGACCCAGCATCTAGATCAGAGAAACCAAATCAGTTCGTTCCATTTATCTGATAATAAAACTTTAGCTATTCACTCTAGGTCAAGAGAACACATTAGGATCAGGTATTCACTCTAGGTCAAGAGAACACATAGATACAGAAATTCAACTACCCAAAATCGCTCAACTCATGCCTCTGTAGCCTGTAGGTGGCTCTAATCTTAAGCAAAGAAGGATCACTTCCTGTCAACGAAAGGCAGCATAAAATGGATCCAAATTCCTCAACCCAGAGTGACCAGAAGAAAGCAAACACCTGGTCAACTCCACGCTTGGCAGTTTCCTTCCATAGCTCCAGTAAACCAAAAACGGCCACCGTCAACACCACCGTCGCCCATAGATCAGACACTACTCCACCGGAAACAAACATACTCGGAAGTGGGAATCAAAGGAATCCCTTTGTGGGTGCGTGTGGCTGTAAGCTGGTGTTTTAAGACAGACAGAAAATTCTGTTCCCTTCTCATCGTCACCAACGAAGACCCATCTCTCTATATTATAACTACCACTGACCCAGCTGCCTGACAGTCATGTGCATCATTTGTATAATAATCTATTTCTCAAACTTTCTCTGAAATCTCCACTCGCACCTTAATGACCTCACTGGAGTGAAAGGGTCGCCGTAATTAGTAGAATATGCGGAATGTGCATTAAATAACACTGCCTGACAGAAAATGCCACCGGTTTCCACGTTTGGAGGAATCAAGTTAACACAAATCATTAATTCATTTACCTAATTGGTTCTCCCCCGGAGCCCAAAGTGCGCCATGAGAAACGACAAATTCCGGTAAAAACAACGCTAATTGGGTAACGAAGAAAAGAAGAAAAAAAACCCCGAAAGCAAACAAATCGAACCAAGCGAGCGACTGAGATTTCTAACCTGGTCGAAGATGCCGCGCTTGGCAGTTTCCTCAAACAGCCGGAGCACCGAGAGCGCGACCGCTCCAGACAATCCGGTCGCTATAGCGTCCGACAGGATCGGGTCCTGGTGAAGCATCGCCGCCGCCGACTTAGGATACCGCTTCAATCGGCGAGCGAATAGTGCCGGGAATCTAGCAGCGTCGCCGATGGAGTGAAGGAGAGAGCTCCGACGGAGGGTGGATGGTGGGAAGAGGAGGCGGTCGAGGTGGGAGGAAGCAGAGGGCGGAGAGTGACGATGGCAGTAGCAAAAGGGTAATCCGTTGAGTTTGGTAGTTGTAGGAGAAGTAGCTGCCATTTGCAAATTTCCCCTTTCTGGGGGACCTGGGTAGTTTGGTTCTCCTTTGTGCAATTATGGGCGGTAGTTCACGGGGTGTCAGAGCCACAGTACTTGGTAAAATTGGGAAAAATTTGAAATTGGGGGTGAGAGAAGAGGAGACCGCCTGGAGCGGCAAAGTTCACTAGAATAAATTACACTGGTTTTTGTTGCCGGCGCTTCGCGTCACGGATACTCAAAAATCAAAATAAATGTACATTCCCTAAAGGGGAATGGGTAGGGTGGCTACTAATTTTTTGGTAGCCATAGTGGCAACCTCTTTGTACACCATTAGATTTTCTATTTTTCCTTCTATTTTAATCTTACGGTCAAAATTCATTTAGGGTAATTTTGGAAATCAAAATTTTAATGCATCTGATTCCTATTCCCTATAATCTCACCCTCTCTCTCTTTTCAACCCTAATAATATATATTTCTCTCCCAGCCGCATCTCTTCCCGGCGACTATTGTCGCCCGCCTCCTTCTCTCTCATATCGGCGACAACGACTGCCTACCGTTACTCTCCTCTCCGCTGCCCTCACTCTCCCCTCCAGCCACCTCTGCCCCCTCCGTCAACCTCCTCCCTTTCTCTCTCTCTCTCTCTCTCTCTCTCTCTTTCTCCACAAGAGACGACTGAGGAGAACAGTAAAACCTATATATGTTTTTTTTTGTTTTGGTAGTGGTTGATTGTTTGTTTTAGGAAACAGTATAGTATTGGTTTTTTTTTTGTCGCATTGGTATTTTTTTGTGGTATTGGTATTGTTTTTCGCATTGGTATTGATTTTGTTGCATTGGTATAGTTTTTGTCGTATTGGTATTGATTAAATCTGCAATGGTATTGGTGTTTTGTCAAATGGTAGTGTTTTTATTTCTCGAATGGTATTGGTGTTTTGTGCAATGGTAGTATTTTTTTAATGGATTGATATTGATTCTTATAATGGTATAGATTGTTTATATTGGTAGTTTTTGTCGTGTAATGGTACTATTTTTTCCGTAGTTGTATTAGTTGTATTGGTTCGTCTCGATTGGTTGTGTTGGTATAGTTTTTTTTTTGTTTTGGCATTGATTTCTTGTTTTACTTATATAATGATATTGGTATTTCTGGAAGTGGTCAAGCAACTCATTTTCAATATTGAATAACAATCCATCGAAACAGATATACACTAATAACACAATGTAAACACTACCAATAAAATTTAGCATAACTACTAAAACAATAAGCACCAAAATACCATTCCTGCCCAACACTACCAATAAAATTTAGCATCACTACCAAAACAATAAGCACCAGAATACCATTCCTACCCAATGTAAACACTACCAATAAAAATTAGCATCACTACCAAAACAATAAGCACCAGAATACCATTCTTACCCTTAGTAACCACGGTGATTACTACTTTAGTAGTACTCACCGTAACCGCTCCCCATTCAAAGGCTACAAAATTATCAAATTGTACAAAAAATAAGTAGAAGTAGGTTCAGATGAATTAATGGCGTTTGCAATTATCACAAAGGGCCAGGGGTTTACACGCCTTGAACTTCCTAATTATCATATTGGTCACAACACCACTCAATCTACAATTAAGCTACATCACTTTAACTCTTCAGTGTCCAAATGCTCCAGATTTGCAAAAAATGTGCCGCCTTCTCACTTTGATGATCATCCAAACAAAATGGGAGAAGGAGTTAGTTAATTTAGACAGCAGCTAAACATGGGGGGAGGACAATGGATAAGTTGGTGAGCAAGGTCAATAAAAATTAATGAAGATTACTATACAAAAATTGGAGATGGACGGACATTAATAAAACAACGGTTATTAACATATAAAAGCCTAGAAGATTATGGTAACTGATAACTTCCAAGCTCCGAAGCTACCAGAAACAGCTCAAATACAGATACAACTATCACAAACTATCAGGAAATTGAATATCTTTCATGAAGAAGCTAAGTGCACTGTTTTGTAACATAGCTCGAGTTTTGCAAAACTACAGGAACAATGAATACATTCAATCCTAATAATAACCCCAAACAAATTGAGTCACAAATAGGATATATATACCAGGATGCTTTTGACATACCCGAGCTATTAGAAGCACCACACTGCACAGTGTAAATTATAAATAAGAATCACAATCCACAAGGGAAATCTAGACCTAGTGATGGAAAGGCGTAGTTTAGGTTTGTAAAGAATACACTCTATTACACGAGGAAGTTCGATACAAAACAAACCTTTCAAAGGGCAACTGAAACTACAATAATCAGCTCGGGGAAGCAGCGAGGCTAGCTGCCATTTTTGCAGATACCAACAAAGTACATGTCAAAATCTGCAATAAATGGTTATAAGAATGGTTACACATAGTTCACGCAGTCGTTCAGATGGAAAACACCACTGTGGCCAAGAAGGAAAACACAAGAAGCTGAATTTTAAAGACATAAGGAAATTATGTATACCAGAGCAGAAAAGTTAAGCAAACTCGAATCTTTAGCATCTGCAAAAGTGTTCAAAATCGCACAAAAAAGGTTAGAAAGAACCGGGGAAGAGAAGACAACAGAGACAAAATAATAGACTACCAAGAAACCAACACCATGGCAGTAACTTTTCTTGCCCGACCACGACCACCACCGTCGTCGACCTCACCATCCAATCCTTCTCCTCCACCATCCCGTCCATCCTCCTGAAACACCTTCCATCTCTCATCTCCACTCCGCCCCATCCCCAGCTAGCGCCGCTGCCGCCGCAATCTCCTCCGCCATCAGCTCGTGCATGGAGGAAAAGGAGGTGCCGACCACGACTCGTCGCCTTTCCAGCCCCAATTCCCTCTATGATATGTAAATCGCCATCTTCCCCTCTCTGCATGCCAAGGCATATTTGGGCGACGGAGACGACGATGCTCACAACGAAGGAGGAAGACAAATCGACATACCAAGTGGGCAACCTGCTTGCCTCATCAAAGAGAAGAAGAGGCAGATGGAAGAAACAAGAAAGAGAAAGAAGAACAGAGAGGAGAAGAGGTAGGTGGAAGAAAGATCGGGAAAGAAGAAGAGAGAAGGAATTTATGATTTTCTATAATAAAGAGGGAGATTGAGAAAATAGGGACGGTTCAGAACTGGAGGAGGCAGATTGGCAGAGACCCCTCTTCTCAATTTCATTGTTTTTCTTTTTTTTTTCAATTTTTTTTCAAACGTCAACGTTTTGGAAGGGCCAATCTGGTTCCGGTTTAAAACCGGATTGGACCCAGTCTGGTCACGGTTGAAACCGGATGCCATCCAATCCCGTCTCCAGTTATGGTATTTGCCAAAACGGTCTTAAAAAACCGGGTCAATCCGGTCCGGTTTTGACCGGACCGGATCGTTTCCCACCCCTACCATCCATTCATATGAGTTATGGATAACTATGGAGAGCTGAGTTATGTTAATCTTTAATTGACTCATGAACAATTTAACGATCAACTATAACAGTTAACTATCACGTATGATAAAGTTAATAAAGTGGGACAACCAGTGATCAATGGTGAAATGAAAACGTAAAGTGAGCAATCATTAATGCAATAAAAAAATTAGTTACAAATGTGAAACATATTTGTAAACAAAGCGGCCAAGGTGTCATTTAGTTGGCCGTATGCATTTACTTTGGATATGAGTAAAACTCATAAATAGTTAGAGTCATACGAAAAAGTTAGTATAATAAATAATCCAAGGCATTGTTAAGGTGCTTGTTTTAGTAGAAAATAAATACACTATAAACTAAATTATATATTTTCTAAATAATTTTTATTTATGGCTTCTCATTTTTTATCGTCGAAACTCGTGATCGGCCGCATACTAGAAATTACCTAATAAATACAAAAAAAAAATTAAAAATGCATATTAGTCACGAATGAATGTCAGAAGTCATCTAATGTTACAAAATAATCATAAACTTCATATAGATATTTGCCTAGGCAAACCACTTTGATGAAAGAAAATGTTAACTGTTCGGTGAAGACTGAGAAACAGTAAAAAACCACACATAACGCTAGTTAATGATGAGATTCGACATACAAAGAATGACAAGGACATGAATTCATAAGACGAAAAAGAAGAAGAAGATGAACTTACGATAGTAGCCTGTGGATGTAAAGATAGATAACTAGGGTTGTTAGCGGTGCGGTTTCGGTTTTAACCGAACCGCAAAGTCGGTTAGCCGACGCCGAGAAGGAGGTGAAATCCCCAACCGTCACCGACACCGACTGCACTATCGGTTAGCCAATAACCGCAGCCGACGGTTTCGGTGGGATGGGTGGTTAGCCGAGAAGGCCTGGAAATTGGGGAGTCGGAGCGACGGGCAAGGTGAGGATGTGGACGACGGCAATTTGTGATTGGACAGATGC